TTGGTTTTTTTCTCTTTTTGAGACAGTGTCTCACTATGCAGTTAAGGCTGACCTTGAACTCACTTTGTAGCCCAGGCTGGTCTCAAACTCACAATGATCCTCCTGCCTCAGCCTCCCAAGTGCTGGGATTCCAGGTGTATGCTACCACGCCCGGCCTCAAAGTCATCATTCTAAGACCACACTTAGCACTGTTTCTTTCCAGTCAACCCCTTCTATAACTTGCCCCCACATGGGGCACTTTTTTGGTCAGCCATTTCTGTCTTTGTTAAGCTAGAAACATGAATTATTGTTCCCTTTCATTGTCATTTGGCCCGATAGTCAGCATATTTATCAAGTATTCTCACTTGTTTTATATAACATATGGAATTTTAATAATACATTTTTAAAATCTGTTATCTTCTTTTTACTTCTGTTTTTCCATGCATTCATATTTGAACAATTATAGTAGCTCACTAATTACATTTCTGTTATTTCTCTTTGTACCATAATAGTCCTTCCTTACTCAAAAGAGGAGATATATTCCAAGATACCCAGTGTATGTATAAAACTGTGGATATTGCTGAAGCTATGTATACTAAGAACTCTTCCTATGCATACATACTCACGATAATGTTTAATTTCAAATTAGGCACAGTAAGTTATTAGCAATGATCACCATAAAATAAAATAATCATAAAAATGTTTTGTAATAAAAAGTATATAAATGTACTCTCTCTTTCTCTCTCTCAAAATATCTTCTTGTAATTTCACTTTTTCATGTACAGGAAGCATAGAAATTTTATCATACTACTCAGAATGGTGCATAATTTAAAGCATATGCATTATGTCTGAAATTTTTCATATAGTATTTTTAAATCACAATTTAATGCGCATAACTGAAAAGCAGAAAGCAAAGCCATGAATGAGGAAAGAATACTCTACTGTCAACTTACTACTGTAGGAGATTGCTTCATTTTAAAAAGGCCTGCAGAGGCTTCCAGTTGCATATCGGTAGAAAAGAAAAATCTTACCTTAATATTCTATGCTACTTGTACTATAATATAGCTCAGACTTATTCTCAAACCAAAGGTATCCCTGCTATCTTTCCTGAAAATTACCTGAGTTTTTATTTTATGTTGCTTTTGCTCACACAGTACAATATTGACTGAAATGTTCTTCTCCAGTGTTCCCCTCACTCCAGCTACCTAAACTCCTATCATTTTTTCAAACTTTATCCAGAAATCTCTTAGTGATTCTTTCACTGAACTATTAAAACATTTATTTTTCATACTCTTTCATTTAAGCTGTATTCAACTACTGTGCATAATTTGATTTGTCACATGTGTATATTCTAGTTATTTCTGTAACTGTCTCATCACCACAGATAAAATTTAAACTTTTTCAGGGCAACATTGTGTCTTACACTACTGTCAGTTATTCAATACATGACATATAGTATTTGTGTTTAATATATTTTTTAATGAAGGAGTAAACAATTTTAATTGGGTTTGTTTTTTTAAAACACACATTTTCCAAGGAAAAAATAAGGCCAAATGTGTATTTTCATAACAGGACTATTTTTTTTAGAACATCTATTTTGACTAGTAGTTATATGTCAGCTAACGAAAACTTTCTCTGCTTTGAAGCCACCCCATTATAAGATTGACACCATTATAATTTATCTCACACTTATCTTGGAATTCTCCCTACATGTTTTGACTGCAACAATTAAAATTAATTAATTTAAATTATTCTAAAAGTTGATCAGAATTGAATTTCCATAAAGGAATTAAAATGTATATAAACAAATGGTAAGTTTGAAGTTTAGGTTTATTTTGGAAGTGCAAAAAAGAAATGAAATAAATGAGAAACTGTTGGCTTTTGAACAGTTCAGCTGTAGTTGCAAGCATGGCTTTTCTTATGTAGCACTGACTTGCCCGCCTGTAACTGACGCTCACTGTTTATCCTCCTTCACACCTCTAGAATAGAGATTCCTAACCTGCGTCCTTTGCCGGAGTTCTGGCATTTAATTTGTACTTTTAAATGCATACATAAAATCAGGTTCAAAATTTTAAATGCTGCATACACGCATTATAATGGGGAGGAGTTCCACAGAGCTTTCACCATAGGCAGAGGGATTCAAGGCCCCACAAATAATTTAAGATCTTCACTGACTGTATACAATGTCTGTTCCTGTTTGCTTAAAACACACAGTCTTTCAGATGTCTTAAGGTGTTAATCTTTTCTTCTTTTTTTAAATATTGTTTTCTTTGTAAAATATTGTATTTAATACCAGTACATCCCACAGCTCCTCCTTATAACATGAATTTTACACCTTTCAACAATCCCAGCAGGTTCTGACTTCCTCTATCCAGATAACTGCTAGTTTGTCAATATTTCTCATAAATGCGATTTTCAATATTAGTTACTTACATGGTGGATCATATAGTCATGTGGACTGTTCCAAGCTGCAACCGTTCCTTCTCCTGGAAAATATATTTATATTAATATGGACTCATATCAATGCCTACAGTTTCCTTTGCCTTGAGAGATGAAATAGATGCACAAGTATCCACACACAGCTGAGAGTTCTAGTCGTGACTGATTATTATATGCTCTGTGGCCTACAGATTGCTCTGTGTCTTTCTTCTAAATCTTTATTGGGCTGGAGATTTAGCCCAGAGGTGCAGCACCTACCTGGGAAATGTGAGGTCCTGAGTTCGATTCCCAGTACCCCCAAAAAAAATCTTTATTAAAAAACAGAATATTTACACCACTTACTAAATAAACGTGATTAGTCAACAGGCCTGATGCTGCAGTATATTTTTATATTTCATTATTACATGAAAAGATTGGAATTCAGATGATTGCCAGCTTGCTCACTGGAGACAATTATGATCTGATTCCATGTTTTTTTCCTATTTGTCATTTCTCACCCTTCACTTTGGTAGCCCTTCTAAAGTAATCTTTGCCAAAGAAATATCAGGCTTTCCTCATAAAATGAACAGAGTTGCTTTATTTTAGGATTGTTCCCAGTTTTCAGGATTTGACTTAAAGTTCTTTGTGGTTGTGCTTATTCCTATCCAGTATATTTGACTGAGTTTAGAAAACTCAGTTAGGTTAGATATTTAAGTTCTCAAAACATGTTCCATAAGAAAGGCAATGGCCAGCGGTGTATTTTCACATGAAACAAATACAAAGATTATATCAGAACTAAGTAGGCATCAGATAATATTAAAATACCCCGTGTCACTAGGCATTATATCCCACTCAGTGGTCACCTAACTGGCTTTATTTTGCATAATGTTTAAAAAGTAAATGAGGATTAGTTTTATATATCTTAAATGGTGATTTAGGTATGAATATAGAATCTATTAAATACTAGTTTACATTTCTTTGTCTTTTAGTCACTTCAATTGAAATTAAACACTGGAAATAATTCTAAAATATGGTTATTCTTTTACATTAAGAAATTTTGGAAACGAAACTCATTCAGCTTTTTCTGAGCAGATCAGTTAAACATACAGTCAACTCTCGATTACTCAAACTAATGGAGAAAAGGATGGAACAAGCTTTACGTTTCTGCGGTGGTCCCCCCCGCCCCGAGGCAGTCGCTGTGCCTCATTCCGAACACGTTTTTGGCTTTCTGTCTTCATCATGTTGCATTTTCTAACCCTTGTGTCCAGGATTCAGTGACATGTGGCTTTCAATTGAGTTAACAGGAAAGTCTTACTCTGCTTTTTTTTTTTTTTATAAATATACATTTTTTTAAATCAGTGCCTCCTCAAGTTAAAAGTTAGCATTATTATGATGTTCTTCTGCCTCATAATATTAGTTTTTTATAAAAGTCTTATCTTTGAATTACAATTTGTAATTTTAACTTCTCAAAAGCATCACCTCATTGTACCAAATTGCTGTTTAAATTTTGTAATAGAAACATTTTAAAGGAAAATTTTTCTTTGAGTTTACAGAAATTCCTCCAACTTTTTAAATTCTAATATGCAGTATTTCCGAGTGCTATGTGTTTGTAGAATACAGAAATGCTGACGGGATGAAGGAATTTATGTGTGCAAACAGTGTGTTGTGTGTATACTGTACATCATTTTCTCTACCAATGAACTGTGCACATTGTGCTACTATCCGGACATAAGCACTCATGGGAATGCTTGTATCTGGATAACTGCAAGTTGAAATAAACACACCTGTCCTTTATTTCAATAACTGCACATTCAAATCCACCCAGGACATTTTTTGAATGTGACCTCCTTATATGTGAGATAGCACTGGTTTCAGCATTTGAATTTTTTGTGGCTGTTTTGTTGGTGTTGATTTAAATCTAAAGTAGATACAAACTCTCTGGAAAACTTTGCATGCAGAGAAAAGGAAATTCAAAGATAAATCCTATGAAAAACATTGAAACTGTTTTGTCTTACTATATTTTGCCTTCATGTGTACTATAGCTAGATTCTTGTAAAATATAGTGATACTTAAAGCCAAAGTAATAAAACCCACGAGCCAGCCTTGAGCTTGGCCTACTTTAAGTAATTTAATTATTTTTCATTTCAAAATAAAACTGTTAATCTTTCATTTGGAGGAGATTATTTTCCTCAGAAACATGCATCTACAACATGCACCTAACCATTCAGAAATCCTGTTTCCTTTAAAGCAGGAGAAGTGTTTGTTTCAAGGCTTATTTTATAGTCTATATTGTAGTTTCTTCTTTTTCATCTCCCAAATTAGGCCATATTTCTGTATGTTCGTTTTATCTGGCATGAGCCAGAAAATTAAATTAAGATTTCTTTAGGAATCTTAACTTTGAATTTCCTACTTTTCATTGCATGTAAACTGTCAACCACAAATAATAGCTTCAGTTCAGGTTCTAGCTTGTATTTTGCATGATAAAGCTATAAAAAGTCTAGTGATGCTGAAAAGAATTTAGCTATGGTTCAGCTATTGCTTGATTGTTATAATTTGTAAATAAATGCTGATTTTATTTACATAGACTTGTCTTTTTGCTTTAGGGGGTAAACTACTTCATGTCCAAGGGTATCCTAGATGATTCACCAAAGGAAATAGCAAAGTTTATCTTCTGTACAAGAACACTAAATTGGAAAAAACTGAGAATCTATCTTGATGAAAGGTAAAACAAAGCTTAAATTTTCATCAGAAATTAGCTAAATGAATCTTTTGAATAATTAAATTTTACTTTCAAGACTATTCTACATAGGATTTATCTAATTGAAAAGTTGGATAACCACATAAAAAAGTTACTGTGTCTTATACATTATTTATTTTATGAATTTTAACTTGCTCATGACAGTTACAATTATAAAAGTAAAGAAAGCCCATGAACACCCACCAAATGGTAGGTCATCTTTGTAATGGCAACCAAAGTCAAATATTTTTGTGGAACCAGAAGCCCTGGCTATTTCTTAATAACTAGCCACAATCTAAGTAACTAAAAGTTGTACAGTCTGAAATTGTATAAATAAAAGTCAATTGTAATGACAAATTGTAATCATAAACCCATAAAACTTATGGAATTATGAGTAGGTATCTATTTACATAGCAATACTACACAGAAGTATTATGTACATGTTTGGAAACTCTGAACATCTTATAGTAGTATATTTTATACAGAAGGGATGGTTAGTATGCTATTCTGATCTTGTAGTCCCTCACTTGTACACCTTTATTCTGGTTATTAATGTATGTAAAATATTAGAACATTTTGATGCAATGAAGCTACACAATCATTTTTAAACTATACCTAATACTAATGTATAGCTCAAAAATACGTGTGCCTTACATTGTGATTTTCAATCCTTTTGGATTCTGAGGAGTTTTTGAAACACCAATCTATAAATGTTCATTGTACTCCAGAAACAGCTAGAAAATAGGGTACACACATGATAAAGGTATAATCCTTGTTTTGAGGAGTTTATATTCCAGTATACTGGTTATTGAAATCAGCCCCTTATGTAAAAATGTCATTAACACTTTTTAATCTTTAAATACTCGGTACCTAGAGATTGCCAGGGGTTTTTGTTATTGTTTTGTTTTGTTAATTTTTATTATTTTTTTTTTTTTACTGGGAATCACACTCACGACCTCACACTTGTCAGGCAGGCGCTATGCCGCTAAGGTATATCCCTGGCCCATTGTTTTGATTTTTTAATGAAAAGAACCAGATTGTTCTGTAATTAATTTAGACTTTACTGACTTTGTGATCACTACTGAAGTTACTTAAAATTCTGTCATTGTGTTGTCAAAGCACAAATAGTTTATAAACATATAAATGTGACTATGTTCTAATAAAACTGTAAAAATAGACAGCAAGCCACATCGTACCTACTAGCTATAGTCTGTCCCTGCCATGAGCAATTGGTAGAAATTGGAGATTCTGATCATATAATCATGAGTGAATTCAATAAAACTGAAGGACATCGTAACAATGCATAACTAAATAATGTCTTCTTTTCTCGGCACGTGTTCCTCACAAGAAGAAAATGCTGTTACCTTTAAGTTTTGTGAAATTTACATTAAAATACTTGTGTGAAAAAAATACTTATATGAGGACTGTGCTGTGAGGTTACGTTAATAAAAGGTGTAAAGTCACAAATGTGGTCACAAAAATTCTATTTTTATTTTAAAAAATAATAACACATATAAATATTTGTATAATTGTAAATAATCTAAGTATATACAAATAAAGATCATCACCCCTATAAGGTGGGGTACTGTGGAACCATTAAGAAGATGTGGTAGATCTTTGTATATACCTATAATCCCCCTACTCAAGGATGCCAGCCTTGGCAACATAGCAAGATCCTGTCTCAAAAACAAATAAACTCTGTACAATATACTATGTGAAAAGCAAAGTCAAAATCTAAAGCAATATATTTTATATGTAGGCCTTTTTAAAAATCTACATAAACAGTTGCTACCTCTAGAAATGTGACTTGATAGATGAAGTATCTCATAACTTTCTTTCATAATTTGAAAAGTTAAAAGTACTAGAGTGCTAAAAAAAAAAAAAAAAAAAAAAAAGAATTCTGCTGCTGTCAGACCTAGCCAGGAAAACACTGGAAAACTTTTTATTACTGAAACCTTTTCTTCATTTTACAAGTAGAATTCCTCACTGTAACTTGCTTTGTTTTGTGTAGTCTATTCATAAAGAGTTCAGACTCTTTCTTAAATAATTATACTTGTTTTAACTTAAGCATATGTACTTTTATAGGATTATCTGAGCTGTTGATAATCAAAAATCAAACATTTTTATCTAAAAATGACAAATTATCATATTTATCCTTTTTAACAAAGTTAACTAAAGTTGTAATCTTTTCTTTCTATAGGAGAGATGTCTTGGATGACCTTGTAACATTGCATAATTTTAGAAATCAGTTCTTACCAAATGCACTGAGAGAATTTTTCCGTCATATCCATGCCCCTGAAGAGCGTGGAGAATATCTTGAAACCCTTATAACAAAGTTCTCACATAGGTTCTGTGCTTGTAATCCTGATTTAATGCGAGAACTTGGCCTTAGTCCTGGTAAGTATGCACATGTGCACGCGCTCGCGCGCGCGCGCACACGCACACACACACACACACACACACACACAAATATATTTTTTTCACGTTACTTCCTGTCCCCTTTCCTGCCACCTCAAGATAAAAACAAGTCTTCTGTGAGAAATTTTTTTCACTGGGTAAAAATATTTCTACTAATTAAAAATATTTCTTTTCATATTGTAAAAGTTACTACACTTAGGCACAGTTAGGCAGACCTTTATTTAGTCACAGATATTAATTTATATGTAGCAAATAAACTGTTTTAGGAAGAAAGTTGGACATACCTATGTAAATTCTTTAACATTATTCTTATTTGAGTGCTGAATATTTTTACTTGTATAATTGAAAACTTGAGAAATTACTTTTAAAACTTTAAATAATCCACACATTTCACAGAGAACAATTTTTTTTGCTAATAGGTAATGTAATTAGCTTGCATTGTGTATATGTGTATGTGTGTGCATATATGATATGTATATTTCTGTATATGAGCGTATGTGATCCTGCTTGAGTCTCCTACATGTTTTTTCATTTGATGCAGCTTTACTTATTTCTTCATGTCAAAAAATGCACTGTGCCTATCTTTTTAAACAGAGATTATAAGACATTTACACATCATATGAAATTTGCTAAACATGCTTTCCAGGATATAATGTTTAACTGAACTTTCTTAAGACTGCAGAATTCCAAAATATGAGTACCACAGTAGTAGCAAGTATCTGAAAATGAGTCACCATCATAATATTAATCACCTTATTTGCCCTGAGCTTATATAAAGAAAATTACTTTGGCTCATGGAGCTTAGGTCTGGGCATCTTTTCCCTAAAGATTTACTCTTGAAATTAATGTGTAATTTCCATAGACTTTTAAAATAAATCTCAAGTGACAATATTAATTGAATAATCTTAAAAATTGTCTGCATTTTATTATAGTGCCAATTCAGTGTAAGTAATGTATTTGAAAACAAAAAATGAAAGAAAATTCTAAAATTTTTAAATCTAAAATGAATTTTTGCTATAAACTGTTAAGCCCTTTTAACATTGTTTTGAAGAAACTGCTCACTTAATTGGCATTCAGACTAATTGATAACTGCCCCACTTTGCCCAGTATTGAAGAATTTTCCAAGATGTAAGACAGTCAGCGCTAAATTAGAAAGTTCAGGCGAGTTGGAATGAATTGGTCACCCCAAGTTTAAGTATAAGCTAATCTTCCTATCTTAAAATTATGAACATTTTTGCCTGATGTAAACACCTTTGGGATACCTGTTAGAGTATCATAATTCCAAGTGTTTTTTTTTTCTTCCAGATGCTGTCTATGTACTGTGCTATTCTTTGATTCTACTTTCGATTGACCTCACTAGCCCTCATGTGAAGAATAAAATGTCAAAAAGAGAATTTATCCGAAATACCCGTCGTGCTGCACAAAACATTAGTGAAGATTTTGTAGGGCACCTTTATGACAACATCTACCTTATTGGCCATGTGGCTGCATAAAAGCACAATTGCTAGGACTTTAACTTTTTACTTCAGACTAAAGCTATCCAAGGACTTATTAGCAGATGTGAGGTTATATCCATGTTGGTCATTGTAGCCTCTGTATGCAATCAAGCTTGAGTATACAATTTCTTTTTCCTTCCCTATTTTCTTTTTTTAGTAATTTCTTGGGGGAACTAAATAATTTTGCAGGATTTTTCTTAATTTTGCTTATTATGTTTTGCACAAAGCCGAGCCATTATCTGACCCAGCTGTTAAGGAATCTTAAACTGACATACACTATAATCTATAAGACGGTATATTTGTGCATTAGATTTGCCTGAAAATCTTTATCCATTTCCATTTTTTAAATACAGTGGACTGTGTACATATTTAACTAAAGAGATTTATAATCATAATTATTTTATTGTGAAGATTTTAACTAAAGTTTCCTTTTCTCTCAAACTGAGTTTTGAAATTTATTTGATCAAATCAAAGAATATTGTTATCTGTATAAGTTGGATCTGACTTCAGCTAGAAACTAATACCAGCTTTCCTTTTCTTTGAATTTGAAAACAGTGTCAATTTGTTACCATATTACTATGCAAAACCAGCACTTACTGTATAATATAAATTTCTCATTTGATTTTTCATTTTAAAATCTTCCAGGTTAGTCAAGTCTTGGTGAGTTCTTTAAACCATTTAGGATTTTTTTTAAAGTGTGTTCAAATTTAAGATTTATACTTATAAGAACAGAATAAAATAATATTAGAACTCTGGTAAATCTTTGCTTGCTTATATCTGATTTAATTAGTCAAGTGACTCTTTCCCTAATCTTGATGATCTATGATCAGAATCTGCTGAACGGGATAAGGTGAATGATAGTATGTACTCCTTATTCATTCAGTACGTCTCTATCAAGGGCCTTCCACGTGCTGTGCCCTTTGCCGAATACTGGAGATAGCTAGCTCTGTATTCACAGATATAGTATGATTGGGTAATGAGAGGGAAATACTACTAAATGTAAAGCAAGTGGATTAATTATATCTTAACTGACAATTATTTTGTAATTAAAATGCACATCATTGGATTAATAGGGAACATGCTTTATATAGTAAATTAAAACTTACCCATAAGTAAAAAGCAAAAGCTTTGGAGTGATACAGTATGTGATGCATGGAACTGCTAACTTACAGAAATGCAGAATCCTGGTTTTCATCCAAATCGGACCCCAAGTCAACAGGAGTTGCTAATATCACAACAATAAAGATATACTACAGATTTTTCAATGAAAAACCTAAGGTAATCAGATATATTTTTGCTATCAGAGGGATGTTTTAACTGGTAGGAAATAATTTCTAGATTCTGAAACAAATACCTAAATAATTTTCACACATGCATAATTTTGAATTTCATGACAAAATAATTATAATTTTTGTTTGTTTTTTGAGATAGACTCTCACTGTGTAGTTTAGGTTGGCCTTGAACTCACTGTAATCCAGGCTAGGCTTGAATTCATGGTGTTCCTCCTGCCTCAGCCTCCCAAATACTGTGATTACAGGCATGTACCACCACACCTGGCAGAGTAATTACAATTTTTAATTTTCAGACTAATTAATTTTCCAAAGATAAGAAATCGCAATAACATTATTTTAAAGCTGGCAGTTAACTTGGTTAAACTCCCAGTGGTAAGCGCTGTCTGGTCTCCTGTTGGTGGCAGCACAGATTTCAGTTGAGTTCTTTAACCAGGCTGTTCCACTCGGAATCTGTTCTTGCACGCATGCTCCAGAGACCAGCCAGACATTTGGGTGAAGTTCATGCACAGGATTTGCACCTCTCTCGCTGGTTCTTTATTCAGGACTTCTCTCTGCATTTGGGGGGTAGCTATCATTATTCTAAACTCTATCCTATAATTCTCCAAGTCCATAAAACCACGGGCTCCACATGATTCAAACTAGAAAAAAATGGGAAGCTCACCCAGTGCTATCCTCTTCTTCCAAGCATTCTCTCCTCTGTTGGATCAGCCTATTTGGGGTTGTTTTTCACCACTTTAAATTGTTGGATTTTTTGGGGCTGGGGATTTAGCTCAGTGGCAAAAGTGCCTGCCTGGCATGCGCAAGGTTGTGAGTTCGGTTCCCGGTACCGGAGGGAAAAAAAAAAAAAAAAAAAAAAATTGTTGCATTTTTTATATTCTGTCCAGAATTGGTAGTTTTATCTTTTGGAGAATTGGTCTGAACGAGCTAGAGAACCTCTCCAACTGAGCACTCTCTTTTTTTAAAAAAATTTATTTTCTTTTTTTATTTAAAGAAAAGTAAACAATAAAAATAATGGTATAAAATTTCAAAACAAGATTTTAGCAGAGTAACAATGGTTAGTACATTGTGTATTGTTATCTTCAAAGTAATTGCTCATATTACAAGATATAGGCATGAGAAATTGATCAAGCAATATAGGCATAAACCTCTCCTTTCAATGAGCTAATAGCAATTAGTAGTATAACTATCTTAACTACCTTGTGTACATGTACATTCTTTTCCTTTTCCCTTCCTTCTTTTCTCCTTTCCCCCATTCCAGTTTCTCTTTCCATTTGAGCATTGTCTTCCCATTTCACAATAACTACTGTATATTTGGGGTCTTACTTACTCTTTCAGCTTCCAACACTAGGGAGACAATATGACGTTTACACATGTGAGACTGATTTATTTCACTTATAAGTAGAAACTCAAGTCACTTCCATTTCCCTTTAAATATCTCAAGTTTATCCTTCTTTATAGCTGAGTAGTACTCCATTGCGTTAAAAATACATCTTTTTTATCTATTCCTCAAAAATCTAGAATTAGAGGTCTCATTTAACTTAGCTATTCCCCTTCTGGGTATTTCCCCAGAAGAATTAAAATCATCATACCACAGCGATATATGTGCACTCATGTTTCTAGCAGCACAAATTTGTCATAGCAAAATCTTGGAAACAACCCAAATGCCCAGTACTCTCCTTTTGAAGATTATTGAATAGGGATTCATTCCTGGTTGTTTTTAAAACTAGAGTAGAAATGTTTAACATGTTGTATCAAAATTCAGAATACTAAGCATAATCATTTAATAAATTAAGAATTCAGTGTTTCCCCGTGGAGTCCCACTGGCTTTGGGGAAAGGATAGCCTTCATTATTGAAGAATGTATGTGCTGTATGTACTATCCCATACAAGATAGAATCATGCCCAATATTGCCTCCTACAAGTTAGTAGCACCCCCCAAGTCCTTGTAATGCACAAGTAATGTCCCCACATATTTCCAGATATCTGCGGGGGAGATAGTTCACCTGAAGCTTGGAAACACTGTATCTTTCAGATTTCATAGTGATACCTTTCTACATTGTACATCTCCTGATGACACTGCACTGTCTCCTTTTGCTTTACAAAATTAGCCTGGAATGTAAGACCTTTCTGAATCTAGCCTCAGCTGGTTTTTAAAGCTTCATCAACAACATTCCTCAACTGTGATCTGTTCTTCGCCTTTTGTAAGCTTTCCCCCCCCCATACCCTTTTTGTATCATTTGGTATCTAAATTTCCCCTACTCACTTGAGATCCATCCCAAATGTCTCTGTCAAAGCTTTCAGACTGTATCAAACATACCACTAGTGTTCATTACTTCTGTCTCAGTAAACTATGGCACTTTGTACGTATCTTCTTACAATAATATATAATTTTAGGCAAGTCCAACTTTTTCATTAGATGTGACCTTATTAAAGTCAGGCTACACCTGACTTGTCAGTTTTTATTTCAAGGCCTGACCTAGGGCAGTGGTAGAGGGTGTAGAGAGGAGGAATGAATTCAAACCCTGAAAATTGACAGTATTTCATGATTTGAGGAAAAGTTTTCTATTATGATCAAGTGATGGTCCTACAATCAAGGTAGCTGCTTGAAGAAGCAATGGGTGGGGGAAATGAAAAAAAAAAAAAGAAAGAAAGAAAGAAAGAAAAAGACAGGGATCCCAATTTCAGCATATTTTGAGTTTCAAGATACTATTAATTTTTTTTCTTTTTTATTGTGTATCTTTTTAGTATATGGTCGCAAGGTGCAAGGATCACGTTATGATTACAAATGATTACACTTATTGTGGGGCATTTGACCATATATGTAATACATCTTAACTCTTTTTTTGTCCCTTTTTTTCCCACCCATCCCTGCCCCCTCGAATTCCTCATGTCTTAGCATATTCGCTGACTAAATCTGGAGAATACAGCCAGCGTTAGAACTACATGGAGCTGGATGGATAAGTTGGTCATGTTAGTATTTAAAGTATGCTAAATGACGCAGAAGGAAACAGCCAGGGAGTATGGAGAGTAAAAAGAGACCGTTGGGAAGCGCAGCATTTTAGCTTTCAGTAGAGGAAACGGAGTTAGAAGAGGATTCACCAAAACTTGAGGAGGATGAGAGAAGACTGTTGCGAAGGATGCCCTTGGGCTGGGGTGTGGCTCTGTGCTCCAGCACTTGCCTAGCAAGCAAAAGATGCTGAGCTTTAGATTAACTGCAGCCCGAGTAAGTTTTTCCCCTCTATAGTCGGCCTTTCTGAGCCAACCTTTTCCACCGGAGCTGAGTTCTTTGAGGCTAGAAAATCACAGTACTGGTAATGGCTTTTATATCATCGCCAGACAAATACTCCCTCACTCAGTGTGTAACCTAAGCTCTGCTGAACCCCACAAGGGCGCTTAAACCTGTCCACACCTTCCTTCCTCCATAGGGCTGTGTTGTTTCAAGCCCAGATGTCCCCAACTGTGTACCTGTAGCGTATGTTCCTGTAGGATGCCACGTAGGGTTTCTAAGATGCAATCGTATTTTGAAAGAGAGAAAAAAGGAAGGAGGGAGGGAGGGAGAAAGGAAAAGAGGGAGAGAGAGAGGAGAAGAAGGGAAAGAGGGAGGAAAGGGAAGAATAGGAAGGAAGGGAGGAGAAGAGTGGAGGGAGGGGTAGGAAAGGGTGAGAAGGAAAGGAGAGGAAGGAAGGAAAGGAGACAGAAGGGGAGGCAAGAAGAAAATTCCTAAAAACGTGGTGCTTCCTCCAAATTTGTCAGCATCAGGGTTTTTGTTGAGTGCATTTTGTTGAAAGTCACACAGTCACATCGTCTGTTTTTATCCCCTTAGTCTGTTTTCTGGAAATCTGATAACTCCTCCCTCATCTAATGCTGTTGTCCTCGGACCCTTTTCCTTCCCAGACGACTTTATCAAGTCTTGCCAATGAAAATGTAACTCTCACCTCTCCTTCCATATCTAACCTCCACCACTGGCCTAGAGCAGTTTCTTAATCAATTCAAAAACTGGAATAAACTTGATATTTAACTCTGGCAAAAGAATTACTCTGGCTCTCGTTCAGTTTCTATATAAGCATTTAGGAAGGTGGCTTTACTAATTCCACTTTTACAAAATGTACCCAGATACTTCAGGTGCACAGCTGACATATCAGAAAATATTAGTTCATTTTTAAAACCATTAAGACATGTTCAACCTATGTGTTATTCTAGACATCAGTTCATCTCTCCAGGGCTGCTGATTTTAAACACGTGGATGAATCACTGCTCCTTTAAGTTCGTCTATTATTTTTAATTTTCATAATAGGTAATCTTGTCACTTGTTTTAAATTTTAGCAATATTATGAATATCATGGATTATCGTGTTCAATGATAATACGCTTATTCAGAAATCTTCATGTTAAAATACTAATATATTCATTCCGATTAGAATATTTTCCAGTGCCTAGGAGAACTATTTCTTAAATATCACTATTAATTTGACTTCCCACTATTGACACAACTGCATTCTCTTTCAAACGTTCATACACAAATGTTCTCCTCTAGAATGCCATCATAAGGGAATGATCCAATACAAGAAAAGCAAGTATGATATTTTTATCACTGTTTTTAAAGAAAACAAAAGATGGAAATATCTGGAATGCCTAACACTTTGGGTAAGTTCTAAGAACTAATAAATACTGTGTTCGAGTATGTACAGAGTACCAGATGCTATACTAAAACTGGTCAGATAGACCAAAATATATTCTCATGACCTATTACTATGAAGCCATGATATCTATGAATAACACTTGAAAACATGTATTAGAGATACATATTTACAGAAATTATGAACATGTACATACATAATTATAATTAGCATACAAAACAAAGAATAAACCTATGAATGGGAAGAAGAGACTGGAATAAAACATACCAAAATGTTACAATGGATTTTTAAAATTTCTTCTTCAAAATCTTTTTAAGGATAATATATCTTAGAACAAATAAATTT